CATTTTTTCTTCAAAACGAATCCCTGTAGAAAGCAATCCTTTACACATAGTGTATATGTGTTAGTTTCTTTGTGTGTATCGGGTTATTTAGAGGAGTATGTATTTACATTTTCATTTTACAAACTTAGTGCCTGAGCTAGTTTTGCATCTTAATGGAATAAGTTTTATTTTCTAATAAACTAATAATTATTATAATATTTTAGTCTTTAATATTAATAGTATTAAAGAAGTCTAAGCCTTTTTATTTTAAGCTTAATACAGCAAAAGCATTTGATTGCCCCTGTAGGCAACTGGATAAAACTATTAACTTTATGTTTTCACCCATAGAGTAGTGGGATTACAGAAAGCTTGCTCGCTCCTCAGGCATGACAATACAACGCATTTTATCATTCAAATTTATCAAAACAACTTAAATAATTTGCAACCTTTTCATATATTTATCGTATATATCATTTACAAATTTATTTGCTGCTTGATCTCATCCCATAGAAAGTGAATCCCCACGTTACCTCATTTTCTAAGCTCATCACTGAGTTCCTGTAACTTGCTTCCCTTTTTGACCCTGCTTCCACCTCACCACTGTCTAGTCACTTCGACAAATGTGTCCTGGAGTGTTGGAGAAGAGAAGAAGGCTCACCCAGGGTAGCAAATAGCCTTGTGGTGGTCTTGACTGCTGAGATTGTAGTCCATAATGTTAACAAGCATTGCCAATTGAGAATCAAACGTTTGAAAATGGGTTACTTTGCAATCTATTTTAAGACACACTCCGTCCTGCATGTAGAGGGCTCTGTATCAGGGTTGCAGCAAGTAATTGTTTCGCACATGCCTGGTGCTGCTTGGTTTATTATACAATCTGTGCTGAATTAAGACTTTTCAACTTGACCGGCAAATTGTAGAAATCTGGAATCTTTTTGTGGAATTGGAATATTGAGGATAAGGAATTTGAATATGAAACAGGAAAATTATTACCATACACTCTGATGGGAAAAAAAAACTGCCTTGAAGCAGAGAGGGAGTGGAGTTAATAGGAGAATTGTGACAGATGGATCAGGGATTGTGGTGAGCATGAAGCTGATTGTCAGTGAGTTAATACCTTTGTCCACAGTAAGTTTGGAGGCAGGGTGCATTTAAACAGGGTAAGGCTAATGCAGTTTGGAATTTCCTCTAACTTGCACCTCTAATGAGATTAAGCCTGTGGTAACATGGCTTGTGGACAGCCTTTGCTTGAGGAAAATGGACCAACTTGAGGACACCATCCAGACACTGTTATTATTCGGCAGTGGGTGGCCCAGTTGCCAAGCCATGAAGCCATTCGCAGGGTAAGATTTGGAGGGAGTGTTAGTCCGCGTTCACGGTCACCTAGTGACCCAATGTCAAAGAAATGAAGGGCTCGGCAAGAGCCACCATGCAGTTGCCCTGCCCTTGTTCCCATGACATCCTCCCCTAATTTTCACCTCCACCCCAACCCCACTACCCCATCTGACCCTCCCACATCAGTCACCTGAGCCCCTCAGCCAACCTGACTGAATTAGCATCATCTACTATCCCATCTACTCATATAGCCTGCATTGGAGAGTCACCAGCCCCTGTGTTTGGTTAGCACCTTTCAGTGGCAGCCTTTCAACCTTCAGAGGAGTTTTACCAGCATGTTGCTGGGTATGGAAGGTCTGAGTTATAAAGAAAGGCTGGAGTGTAGGGAATGAGAGGCGACCCGATGGAAGTCTATAAAATCATCAGGGGAATAGATAGAGTTAATGACAGTTGTCCTTTCCCTAGGATGGGGAATTTCAAGACTGGGGGACACATTTTTGAGGTGAGAGGAGACTAAATTTTATTTAAAAATTTAGATTTAAAAAAGATTTTAAAAAGACATGAGAGACAGGTTTTTTACATAGAGTGTGGTTTGTGTGGAATGAACTTCTAGAGGAAGTGGTGAATGCGGATAGAGTTACAACGTTTAAAAGACATTTGGATAAGTACATGAATAGGAAAGGTTTGGAGGGAAATGGACCAGGACCAGGCAGGTGAGACTAGTTTAGTTTGGGATTATGTACAGCATGGATTGGTTGGACCGAAGGGTCTGTTTCCATGCTTATTGACTCTAAGACCCTTTACCCTAATGGCTCCCACTGGTCGTATGAAGGAGATTTGGGCCTCACCAGCTGCCAGGCAAAACCTCGGTTACCTGCGTTAACTAACAACAAATAAATCAAAGGATAGGAAGGAAGAGAAGGAGTGAAGTGGCAGGGCAGCACAGTTGGTCAGAGTAGTGGGTAGGGTCCAGTGACATAAGAGCAGTTGTGGTTAATGATTAATCATACAACCAGATGCAAAAGAGTGCAACAATCAAAGCAGAGGGTCATGTCTCATTGTCCAAATTCAGTTACAAATTGTGGTTCCAACTGACCTAGAAGTCAAGGACCAGCTAAATGCTATTATCAATATGGGCAAGTGCAAAGGTGAACACAGAAACTGTTAGTCATTAGATTAAACATCAGCAGAAGATTGAAAGAAATGAATTTGGAATTCATTACAGTGGGTGAATTTGAGACCTTGAGGTCACATTCCTCAATTAGACTCATAGAAACCCTTCGGTTTAGAAACAGGCCATTTGGCCCAATGAGTCCGCACAGACCTCCCGAAGAACATCCCACCCAGACCCACCCCATCCCTGTAACCCTGCATTTCCTGTGGCTAATCCACCAAGCTTGCACATCCCTGGACACTATGGACAACACACCTAACGTCCACAGCTTTGGATTCTGGGAGGAAACTGGAGCACCCAGAGGAAACCCACGCAGACTTGGGGGAGAATGCAGAAGCTCCATGCAGACAGTCACCCAAGGGTGAAATCGAACCCGGATCCCTGGTGCTGTGAGGCAGCAGTGCTAATCACAGAGCTACCATGCTGCCCTAAATTGGCACCCTATGTTTGTTAGTGGCAGTTTGAGAGGCTGTGAAGCTAGTAATACCAACTAAAGGAAGAAAAGTTTGTTTGAACTTTGACTTTGAGCATTGGGCAAGTGGAGATTTTCTTTGTGACAAGGTGTAGGATTAGGTAAATTGTGTGGTGGAGGAGATTGGAGTCTTTTGTAGGTTTTGGGAAGTCAAGATATCCTTTTCTTTTATTCATTGAGGGTGTCACTGGCCAGGCAGCATTTATTACCCATCCAGAGGGCAGCTCAGAGTCGACCATGTTTCTATAGGTCTGGAGTCACATGTAGGCCAGACCAGGTAAGGATGGCAGTTTCCTTCCCTAAAGGATATTAGTGAACCAGATGGGTTTTTCCTGACAATCAACAATGGATTCATGGTCATCGTTGGATTCTTAATTCTAGATATTTTATTGAATTCAAATTCCACCATCTGCCGTGGCAGGATTTGAACCCAGGTCCCCAGAATATTATCTGGGTCTCTGGATTAACAGACCAGTGATAATACCAGTAGGCCATTACCTCACCTTTTGAGTCTTAGGAATTGGAGAACTTGGAGCAGAATAATATGTACTGACACTCCCAGTTGCTAGCGATCATCATTGCCAATGTAGATGAATTCCAGCAGGTTGGGATGAAGATAAAATCTAGCTTGTAAGCATAACAGTTCAGGTGGATGAGAGTAAAGCAGTTGATATGGTGTGTATGGATTTCAGTAAAGCGTTTGATAAGGTTCCCCATGGTAGGCTATTGCAGAAAATACGGAGGCATGGGATTGAGGGTGATTTAGCGGTTTGGATCAGAAATTGGCTAGCTGTAAGAAGACAGAGGGTGGTGGTTGACGGGAAATGTTCATCCTGGAGTTCAGTTACTAGTGGTGTACCTCAAGGATCTGTTTTGGGGCCACTGCTGTTTGTCATTTTTATAAATGACCTGGATGAGGGCGTAGAAGGATGGGTTAGTAAATTTGCGGATGACACCAAAGTCGGTGGAGTTGTGGATAGTGTGGAAGGATGTTGCAGGTTACAGAGGGACATAGATAAGCTGCAGAGCTGGGCTGAGAGGTGGCAAATGGAGTTTAATGCGGAAAAGTGTGAGGTGATTCATTTTGGAAGGAGTAACAGGAATACAGAGTACTGGGCTAATGGTAAGATTCTTGGTAGTGTGGATGAGCCAAGAGATCTCGGTGTCCATGTGCATAGATCAGTGAAAGTTGCGACCCAGGTTGATAGCGTTGTTAAGAAGGCGTATGGTGTATTAGGTTTTATTGGTAGAGGGATTGAGTTTCGGAGCCATGAGGTCATGTTGCAGCTGTACAAAACTCTGGTGCGGCCGCAATTGGAGTATTGCGTACACCGCATTATAAGAAGGATGTGGAAGCATTGGAAAGGGTGCAGAGGAGATTTACCAGGATGTTGCCTGGTATGGAGGGAAGGTCTTATGAGGAAAGGCTGAGGGACGTGAGGCTGTTTTCGTTAGAGAGAAGAAGGTTAAGAGGTGACTTAATAGAGACATACAAGATGACCAGAGGATTAGATAGGGTGGACAGCGAGAGCCTTTTTCCTCAGATGGTGATGGCTAGCACGAGGGGACATAGCTTTAAATTGAGGGGTGATAGATATAGGACAGATGTCAGAGGTAGGTTCTTTACTCGGAGAGTAGTAAGGGCGTGGAATGCCCTGCCTGCAAAAGTAGTAGACTCGCCAACTTTAAGGGCATTTAAATGGTCATTGGATAAACATATGGATGATAATGGAATAGTTTAGGTTAAATGGGCTTCAGATTGGTTTCACAGGTCGGCGCAACATCGAGGGCCGAAGGGCCTGTACTGCGCTGTAATGTTCTATGTTCTATGTTCTATGTCTGCCAAGGCAGTGGTGGAAAAGAATAATCACACTATCAAAAAAAAACCCTGCAAAACAAAGTCTTCAATATTTTACTAATTATGTCACTCTGATTCTTCTTTCTCCAGATGCCTGAGTTAAATTACCACACCACAGATAGTCAAGCACTTCGTCATGAAGATCGAGCAAAAGTGGTTCATCGGACGAAGCGAAGTCAAAACAAAGAGCCAGGAGAGAGAGGTGAACAAGCAGTTAAAGGGGATAGAGGTGTGAACGTGGGTACAGGTATGGATTTTGCTTTAAAGTAAAGCTATAACCTGTGAGCTATCTGGAGACATTTAAAGTTTTGCCAAGTCCTGTATTAAACTTGCAATGTAAAAATTAATAAATACTGAATATACATTTTATGCTGCTTTCATGTTTTATTGAGGATCTGTGAACTGTAAAATTTTAAGAATATGCTATTTGGTTGAGCATTCACTTAAAACCATTGTATTTCCCAATCTACATCATTAGCAAGATCCTTTGTTCACTCCTTGCATGCAAAATGGACAGTTACACAGTCCAATCTGTAGAACAGGTTTGCTGGTTTGAGAAATGGAGTTATTTGTTGTATTATCATTTGTTTTGTCTTTCTCCATATTGTTTTCTATTTGTTCTTTTTAGATACTAAGCAGGTTTTTCCTTTCAAATAGAGCACGATCTCTGCTCAGCAGCTACTTTGTAGGTAACATTCCATGTTGTAATGACCATTGTGGTATTGCTGATAGACCAGTAATTCTTGCACTTGGCCAATGAGCAGCTAAAGAAGTCAGAAGATTATGTTATTTAGTTGATCAAAAGTGATGTTTCATGATGTAACAATTCACTCAAGCATCAAGCAATAATATGACCACAAACCACATGTCAACGAAGTAGAGAGGTCACTTCTCATAGTAATTGCAGTTTCTGGTTAGAAGAACTTTGAACAGAGAAACAAGGAACAAGATTGGGCTACTCAGCCCTTTTGAGCTTGCACTGCCATTCAATAGGATCATCGTTGATCTGATTTTATTCTTCGCTCCATCTTCCTACATCTCTCCAATAATCTTTCATCCCCTTGGTAATCAAGCATCTTTCTATCGCTGCCTTAAACATATCTAAAGATTCTGTATCCACTTGTGGATGTTGTGGAAGGAAATTCAAAAGACTTGCAAATCTCTGAGAGAAAAAGAATCTCTAGTAGCAGTTTGATTTAGAGTTAATGAAAATATCATTTTGATCATGTTTTACTGTTGTTAAGCATCACTGTGAACTGTTTCTAAGAACAAAAATAAAGTTGCTGGAAAAGCTCAGCGGGTCTGGCAGAATCTGTGGAGGAGAAAACAGAGTTAACGTTTCGGGTCCGGTGACCCTTCCTCAGAACTGATGGTGGCTGGGAAAATGTCAGTTTATATGCAGAAAATAGGGAGTTGGGTGGGGTAGGGAGTAAACGATAGGATAGAGCCCGAAGAGAGAGAAAGACAGTTGGACAGACAAAGGAATTGCTAACGATCAGGCTGGGAGGGTGAATAGTTGTTAGTGGGGACTGTTAGTGACTAACAACAGGGGGTGTGTAATGGCAGACTATGTGGTAACAAGGCCTGGTGTGTGGGGTGGGGGGCTGGGACATGGGACAGTTTAGGCCCTAAAATTATTGAACTCAATATTAAGTCCGGAGAGCTGTAGGGTCCCCAAGTGGAAATTTGAGGAGTTCTTCCTCCGGATTGCGTTGGGCTTCACTGGAACACTGTAGCAAGACAGAGGTGTTGGCTAGAGAGCAGGGTGGTGCATTGAAGTGGCAGGCAACAGGTAGTTCAGGGTCTTTTTTGCGAGCAGATGTTCTGCGAAGCGGTCGCCAAGTCTACACAAATCCATTACAAACCCACCGATTCCCACAGCTACCTGGACTGTACATCCTCACACCCCACTTCCTGTAAAGACTCCATCCCATTCTCTCAGTTCCTCCGTCTCCGTTGCATATGTTCAGATGAGGCCAACTTCGACAAGGGAGCCTCCGAAATGTCCACATTCTTCCTCAACCGAGGATTCCCCAGCCCCGTTGTCGACAGGGCCCTCAATCGGGTCCAACCCATCTCCCGCACTTCTGCCCTCACCCCTTCTCTTTCCTCCCGCAACAGCGATAGAGTTCCCCTTATCCTCACCTACCATCCCACCAGCATCCACATCCAGAAGATCATCAGACGCCATTTCCGCCACCTCCAGCAAGATGCCACCACCAGACACATATTCCCCTCCCCTCCCTTGTCTGCCTTCCGCAGGGACCATTCCCTCCGGGACACCCTGGTCCACACTTCCTTCACCCCCAACACCTCCCCACAGCCCTACGGCACCTTCCCCTGTAACCGGCGAAGGTGCAACACCTGCCCATTTACCTCCTCCCTCCCCACTATCCAAGGGCCCAAACATACCTTCCAGGTGAAGCAACACTTCACCTGCATTTCCAAGAATCTAGTCTACTGCATTCGCTGCTCACAATGTGGTCTCCTCTACAGTGGGGAAACAAAGAGTAGACTTGGCGACCGCTTCGCAGAACAACTACTTTCTGCTCACAAAAAAGACCCTGAACTACCTGTTGCCTGCCACTTCAATGCACCACCCTGCTTTCTGGCCAACATTTCTGTCTCTGGCTTGCTGCAGTGTTCCAGCAAAGCCCAACGCAAGCTGGAGGAACAACACCACATTTTCCACTTGGGGACCCTACAGCTCTCCGGACTCAATATTGAGTTCAATAATTTCAGGGCCTAAATTCTCCCATGTCCCAGCCCCCAACTGGGCACACCAGGCTTTGTTACCACATAGCCTGCCACTACACACCCCCTGTTGTTAGTCACTAACAGTCCCCATTAACAACTATTCACCCTCCCAGCCTGATCGTTAGCAACTCTTTTGTCTATCCAACTGTCTTTCTCTCTCTTCGGGCTCTATCCTATCATTTACTCCCTACCCCACCCACCTCCCTATTTTCTGCATATAAACTGACGTTTTCCCAGCCACCATCAATTCTGAGGAAGGGTCACCGGACCCGAAATGTTAACTCTGTTTTCTCCTTCACAGATGCAGCCAGACCTGCTGAGCTTTTCCAGCAACTTTGTTTTCATTCCTGATTTACAGCATCCGTAGTTCTTTTGGTTTTTAACTGTTTCTAAGAGTTTGTTAAGAACAATTCTAACCCCTCAACCATCTTAAGCTACCTTATTATCCTGAGCTGTCTGTAAACAGGTGTTCTTATTTTCCCACCAATTTCTATGTCAGTAGTTTTAAACCAAGGGTTGTTTTAAGTTTGCTCGTTTAATTCTGAATAATTGTTCTTTGGGACTCTTCCTATTCTATGTTTGTCCAGCACGTTCTACACATTGCTACATTTTCATGCCTAATTTACAATGAAGGATGATAGCGTCCATACATCATTAGCACTGTCCAACCTCACTCGGACATGTATGGTCAGGCAGTATCCAGTTAGCAAGTTGTTCACAGCAATTCAACAATATCAAAGTGGCGGTAAGGTTTTTCTGAAGTGCACCTGATTGAAGTGCACCTGAGACCAATTCCTTCAGCAGTCTAATTGGATGTCTGAAGAGAAGGAATAGACTGCTGGGTCTGGTAACAATACAGGGCAAGAAACCATTCTGAAGTAGAAAGGTTCAGAAATAGTTCATGATCTAACTGTACTCACATACTCGTAAACAGAGAGTAAAACAGGAAGTAAGGATTCATGCTGTCCCCTCTGGAACTACACCACAGTCCAGCACATTGGCCTTCTTCATATGGGGGCTGGACATACACTAAAGAGATGGCACAGTGGCTCAGTGGTTGCACTGCTGCCTAGCGCCAGGGACCCAGGTTCGATTCCACCCTCAGGCGACTGTCTGTGTGGAGTTTGCACGTTCTCGTTGTGTCTGCATGGGTTTCCTCCGGGTGCTCCAGTTTCCTCCCACAATGCAAAGAGATACAAGTTAGATGGATTGGTCATGCTAAATTACCCATCGTGTTCAGAGGTGTGTAAGTTAGGTGGGTTAGCCATGCAAATCCAAAGGTACAGGGATCGGGTAGGGGGATGGGCCTGGGTGGGATGCTGTTCGGAAGATCAGTGTGGACTAGTTGGGCTGAGTGGCCTGTTTCCACACAGTAGGGATTCTATTCTAATGGAGCAGGGATGTCTTGCTGCAATAACCCAATTCCTGGTGAGGCCACACCTGGAGTAGTGAGTGCAGTTTTGGCCTCCTTACCTGAGGAGGAATGTTCTTGCTATAGAGGGAATGCAGCAAAGGTTTACCAGACTGATTTCTGGGATGGCGGTACTGGTGTATGAGGAGAGGCTGGATTGGCTAGGAATATATTTGCTGGAGGTCAGAAGAATGAGGGGGAAACTCATAGAAACTTATGAAATTCTCACAGGATTTGACAAGGTAATAGCAGGAAGGATGTTCCTGAAGGTAGAGGAACCCAAAACCAGGGGTCGCAGTCTAAAGATACGGAGTGAACTATTTAGGACTGAGATGAGGAGAAATTTCTTCACCCAGGGAGTGGTGAGCCTGCGGAATTCTCCACCACAGAAAACAGCTCAGGTGAAAACATTTCATTGAAAAGTTGGAAATAGCACCTGGGGCTAAAGGAATCAAAGGATATTGGGGAAAAGCAAGAACAGGCTAATGAGTTGGATGATCAGCCATGATCATAATGAATGGCAGAGCCGGTTCGAAGGGCTGAATGGTCTGCTGTATTTTCTGTGCCTGTATGTAAACCCCCAAGTCCAGAAATTTCACTCCAAACCAGAATGGGAGGCTAGGGCCTAGCATAGGTAGGACTCAGCTTATTACCTAGCCCTTCTACCAGGTTTATATTCCAAGGATCTACTCTTGAGGCCTTCAGAAATTGGGTGCCATGTTCATGTTTTTCTGTCATAATAATTTGATGTGCCACTGTCTCATAATACAGTGAAGCTCCTAATTTTTTATGCAGACTGCCTAATTTCTCTCGGTTACTGCCGATATGCATTATTCTGCCATCTTCTCAACAAAACATTACCTTGTTACTCATTACAGACTGTGCTGTCATAGATCAAACTATGCAAATGTATAATGTTAGCATTATTCCCTTCTTATTTGCTCATGCAAGGTATCCTGACACTCCATGTGCCTTAACGGTGACCACAGTCACCTGACTTTAAAGACTTCCTGCAGGATGTTTGAAATTTTCAGACATTACCCTTATAATAAAAGCAAAATATTGCCGATTCTGGGAGT